AGATACATCTACAGAACAAAACTTAAATACGTTACATGCTTTTCCTACACTTAACATTACTTATTAGTATTATATTTTTACACACACAACACTAACAACACAAGTAACTATCTGTAAATTAAATTTCTTGTATTACTAAATACACACGACATCATAATGATACTTGAACATAACATCGTATTTTTTATGGCATCAAAACAGTTGTTAAAAAACACTCATGGTCAGATTTAACCTTGCTCGTTCGGTGACAGAGACACGACTGAGCTGTTTTGAGTCAAAAAAAGTGAAATAAGCAATTTTCACTTTGTAAATAGTGAATATCTATGACTTTTCACTTTTTGAAATAGTGAAAATATTTTTCAACTTAAAAATTAGTTAATATTCACGATTTCAAAAGTAAAGATCTTATTTACTTCCGTGAATAATAGAATTTTCACTATTTCAAATTTAGAGAGTAGATCATTTTGTAGCTATCAACCCTCAAATTAACATGGCACCTCGCACTTAACCCTATTAAAATAATCAAATGTAAAAAGAGGAGATAGTTAAGGTTTCCTACTTTATTGATAAAGTTACTATAGCTTTATAAATTATTTATTTAGCAGCTATTTTACCGAAAGAACATAAGAGTAAACGCACATTCTTGACACTTCGAAGAACGAGTAGGGCCCAATTAGAATCTCAAATGAAAATTTCAACCCCCGTCAACGTCCATACCATGCTGAAAGTACCGGTTCTCGTCTGATCACCGAAGTCAAGCAGCATTGGGCGCGGTTAGTACTTGGATGGGTGACCGCTTGGGAACCCCGCGTGCTGTTGACACCCTTGTTTTTTGGTCATAAATAACGACCTTAAATTATTTTGGCTCTTACAATTTTGATTCTCTCTCTCAGGTGACTCATTAAGTAATGAACGTAGTGTATCATTTTTAACAAATTCAATTTCTTTTAATGTAACACATGGATTTTTTTTTAAATTTTACCCGGTATTAAGGGCAGATTGGAGATAGTTAAAGTTTCCTACTTTATCGATAAGGTTACTTTAATTGCATAGCTTTATAAATTATTTATTCAGCAGCTATAGCTATTTTACCGAAAAAACATAAGAGTAAACGCACATTCTTGACACTTCGAAGAACGAGTAGGGCCCAATTAGAATCTCAAATAAAATTTCAACCCCTGTCAACGTCCATACCATGCTGAAAGTACCGGTTCTCGTCTGATCACCGAAGTCAAGCAGCATTGGGCGCGGTTAGTACTTGGATGGGTGACCGCTTGGGAACCCCGCGTGCTGTTGACACCCTTTTTTTTTTTAATTATTAATTTAGTGGTAAACGACGTTTGATGTTTTGGCCCTTCCAATTTTGGTTCTCTCTTCTCAATAAGTAGTGACCGTCATGTATCATAATAAATAAATTTAATTTCTATCATTTTAACATGTAAAAGATATAGGTACTTATTCAGATTTTACTAAGCTCTCATATTGTTATGAAGTGTTATGTTACGGACACGCTATTACATTACTTGTAACAAAAGATAATATTTTATATCACGTATGTGGTAAATGTTTCAATACTCAGTTATAGGTAAAGAATCTATTACATTAGGTAATGTGGAGTTTTTTTAATTTAATACTTGTTTTTAGCTGGGATAAGCTGACTTTGTTAGAAATTATTTATAGTGACAGTGCTTACTGCAGCTTGACTATATTGTGAGTATAGGCAATCTCTTAATTAGTATACTACAGGTCTTGAAATTAATCGTTATTTCGTTCGAGATACAAATGATCATATAAATATATGTGAAAGAATGGCAATACTCGTTCAAATAACTTTAATAGCTTTAATCAGAACTTATGTACAACAAGGTACTCACATTGATGGATTTATTTATATTCACTATGTGCAGTAATCTAAAATAGCGCCACCTGCACGGCAAGAAGAAGGTGATGCTGGATAACACGAGTATACATTGCCTGTTATGGGCTGTAAACTCTGTTAGTTGTTTTTTGTAGTTTTAATGAATTTTTGATATGTATAGTATCGATTTTCAGTGTCAAGAATTTGTTTTTGAGCAGAAAACAATTTTTTGTTTCAATATTTACTTAGTTATTTTTTTTAACTGAAAAACAATAGTTATCTGTTTAAAAAAAATACTTGACACTGAAAATCTATACTTCAAGTATCAAAAATGCTAGTAAATATTTGAACAAACAAGTTGTTCGCTTCATATTAGAAATCTAAGCTTCTAATATGATTACTTTGTTGATGCATGACATAAATTGAAATTAAAATAGATTCAATGAACAGGTAGATGTCTGAGTTTTAGGTTCAATTTTTAACCATAAGAAACCCTGTAGACATACTTTGGAAGAAAAAGTATTGTTTAGGCGTAGTAATTTTTAGACAAGACTGCCCTACCAAAGTGTCTGATAATTCTTTGGAAGCTCAGCACATAGTGAAACATTTTACAGAATAAATGCTTTACACTATGGTTAAATGAATTTTGAATTATTGCAATCTAATCAACGTTTTAAAGAACATCAATTGTAATGATCTCAATAGTTTATTTTAAAATGCTGTCAATGAACATAAGAAACATGTGTAGCTAAGTAAATTATAAAAAACTTACGTGTTTACTGCCATTGTCTTTTCTTTGTCATTATTAAAAGCTTGCAAAAGACTGGTTGCATCAACAAACTTCTTTTTTCTATCATCTTCTGTGTCTGAAAGTTAAAATTTTGGGTTAAATAACATATTCCATAAACAAAATTGCAAATAAGAATTTTTTAAGAATAAAAACAAAAACATATTGCCGAAACCCGGGATTGAACCGGGGACCTTTAGATCTTCAGTCTAACGCTCTCCCAACTGAGCTATTTCGGCAAGTGTCTGTGCATGGTTCATAAGATGGTAAAGAATATCAAATTTACTATTGTAAATAAGTTTATCTAACGATTATTGTAACAGAGGTCTATTCAAACTCTTTTCACGTTTTTGCATTATGTTAAAGTTATCAAACAATAGCTCTCCAAAGTCTTATTAGATGTTTCACATAAAATAACTTTTAATTTAATTTTTTCTTGATATTTCATACAATAAATCGTAGAAGAAAATTTCATGTTCATAAAAATTACAATGAAACGATTAGCTTTTTCATATTTAATATCTTCCAATTGAAAAAATCAATACATGTCATAATCTGTTGGCAAGGTAGAGATCTAGTAATTTTTTAAATTTGTTTCAGTTTAACTTATAAATTGACTTTCATCTTTTAAGTAAAGTTAAAAGACTTGTTTTCTATTGTCGTTGTCTAGTTTTATTATGAGAAATTACAATTTAAAAAAGCTATTAATTACATTTTTTTTCCAATACAAATCTGAATGATGAATTTGCACTAACGACTAATGTTATGCTTATTTCGTAAGAAAATTGCTACCAATGCAATCACTAATTTATGTGATAATGCAAAACTGACAGACATTGTAGATGAAAAACAACAATCAGGAAACATTTTACAATTACTGAAATCGATGTTATTGAAGAATGTTTATAACTGTTCGATAAACTTTTTTCAGTGGATTAATTTTCGATTTCGATTAATATTAACGTTTTTAAATGTAAGGATTCAAGTTCAATTGATAATTGCACAAACAATACCAGAAACAAACTTTCAATTATCTTTTGAGCCTTTACCTGAGCTGTAGGCTTTGCCAAGCACTTGTTTGACTCTGCTTTTGAGAGCTTCCTGCCGTCTCCACTCGTGAATTTCTTGTTTCAAGGCTATCGCATTACATTTTTCTCTTTCCGACAAATTCGTGGTAGAATCCGTGTTGTTAGACATTGCGGGATGTGGCTTCTCTGTCCGTCTTGGTACCTTCCCCCGTTTGACGTTGTACGACGAACACGCGGCAATTTTCGTTTTACCGGCCAACGGCGCAGATTGACGTTGCACCAGGCACTTTGTGACGTTTCTTCTTCCTCTAATATTTGCATTGTCAGAATCGGTCGTTGATTTTCTAGTTGACATCGCGTTCAACTGAGCCAAGCTTGACCTTCTCGACATTTTCACTCGAATTTGAGGTGAATGCACATGCAACAAAAATCTTCTGTTCGCTGTGTCACTTGTTTCGTAAAAAACACTTTTGTCTTATAATGCACTTGTTGATATCAAAGAATATATTAGGGCAACACAGAACTAAACTTCCTGCCAAGTCTAACAAAAATAAGTAGTTGTTATCTTACTTATACACCCATCTTGTATTTCATTCGACGGTTACAGCAATATAAATATAAACTCGCACGTCTCCAAGTCTCTTGGCTTTATCAGAACAAAACACTGATACGTAGGTATACTTCTACTTCTTTGTAGTCACGAAGTACGTCATCCTATAAGTATAGCTTTGCTCTCCGAATCAGATGTTTCCCTCCAAATTCTTCCGACTTCATTTATGTTGCAACACGTTCTGTTCATGTATATGCACTCAGCCACTCATGTATGCAACTGTGCAAGTGTGCACGTGCAGTGAGAGTTTTTTTAAACATACACACCTACACATACATGCATCGTAACGTAACCTCTTACTTCTGTTCTGTATCTCGGTATCTTATGTTTGTATTTTGTATGTAATTTTTTATAACCGTACTTATATACGTACTTGTATGGTAAAAAAACAATTTGAATTTCTATTCAGTTAACTAAAGAGTGTATTTTTAAAACTGTATCAAGATTTTTAATTATCATAAAAGGTTTTGTTTACCGCTACCAGTTACGTTTTCTTTTCGAACTATTTGGTGTTATTTTTTATTAAGGCATTTGGAATAAATTAGTATTGTTTAAAAATAAAACTACTGACGAAATGACTTCGAAATTTCAAACCGATATATAGGGTCGTCAATGCCAACGTAACAGATCTAACAGCCAGTGCTGCCACTGCGAAACACAAAAATAATCTTTGTTTACGCGTCGAAGAATTTACAGCGTCTGCAGATGGTGTGTGACGTTGACGTGCCGTTAGAGAGGTTAGAACGCGAAACAAAAAAAAATATGGATAAAAAGAAAATTGATGTTACGTTTTGGGATGAGTTTGAAAAAAAAGTGGATTGTTCATTAGTGCCTCGTTTTTCGCAAGATACCGTGCGACCTTGCACGGAAGAGGACTTTCAAGATTATACGTTTAATCTAGAAAACAACCTACGCCGCATCATTTCAATGTTGGATGATTTGTTGCAAAATGAAGGTCAATGGACAACTAAGACTAAAAAACACCTAACTAAAGTGTTGGTAATAGTTGGTGAGCAGCATATTAAAAATGCATGGAACACAAGTTCTTGCATTGAATTATCGAATGAATTGATTTCGAGACTCTGTAGAATTTTTAAACACGAGAGCGTAACTGAAATAATTAAAGACGATGATACATTTGTTTCTGTATTAATGTTTTTGAGGCCAAGGTTATTAAATGACACTTGGAAGTTCTACCCAGCTGCTGTCATCTGCTACAAGTGGCTTTTAGAGTGCATGAAAAAGCCTCTGTTAAAAAGACACGTTCCAGAAATTCTTCCAACAGCTTTGATTATTTTTGATGACTATGTTGCAGAGAATCAGGCCTTTGGTTTAGATTGTATAAACATCATTATTGAACATTGTCAAAAAAGCAGATGTTTGAGAAATCTCAATCATGACGAAGTGATTTATCAAGCACTTGAAAAAATGATGTACAAAGTGACACCTGAGTTGATTGTTCCTCTATACGCCTGCATTTCTAATTTATTAGAAAACATGGAATTATGCAACGACAGTGGTAACAAGTTTGGATGGACAAAGTATGATGAAGTTTTAATTATTTTGCTGGATAACATGGAGTTACAGAGTAAATTCGAATGCCGATACGCCTATGCGGTGAGTCTTAAAAAATTTTTGAAATTTAGCAATTCTGGTAAACAGATCAAAAGACTAGCTAGAATATTGAGCGAGTACTGTGAAAATACTATTGATTTGAAAACCACAGATGTGGCTCTTGATCTTGTAAAGATGTTGATGTCAACGTACAAACCAATCAATGTGAATTTTTATTCTCAAGTTTATTCTTCTCTTTTGAAACTTTGCTTGGAATTGTCTTTGAGGAAAAATGTTAATGATATTCATGACAAAGCTTGCGAGTGCATCAATTTGTTGAACGAATCATGTCCGCATGTGAGCAAAGAAATATTAGACAATGATGTGATAAGATCTGTCGTCAGGACCACGTAAATGTTGTAAAAGTTGCTGTACCATCCAAAAACGAAGTAAATAAAAAAAAAACTATAGAGTCATACAAAGCATAGAATTGCATAATTGTATCCAGCAATCTGTTTCACAAATTCGTCCTCCATGGGCTGCCATCAGTGACGTTTAAAAAAAGAGCGCGGCCAGATTTTTCCCATGGGTCCATGTTGTCCATATCTTATTTCGGGCTATATGACTGCTGTTGCTGCCGTGCAACAGGTTTTGCTGTAAAGTGGGGGAGGTAAACAGAGAGTGGCGGCGGCAAAGAGAGAAAAACGGAGCACACTGCACGAAAATGATCATCGATGCAGAGAGAAGAAGTAGGAGTACGCAGTATATAGTCAGCTGTGGCCAATCAGGAGGGCTGCGCATCATTTTTTAAAAATTGCAGTATAAACAAACGCTCACTCTCGAGAGCCGGCGTCACGCTCTCGGGACCCCAAGAGAGGAGCCCTCCGTCGTTCCTCTCGTCGCCTCCTCTCCTACACCTATTCCCCTTTGAAATAGCATCCTAGCATCGGGGTCCTACCGTTCTTTTTTCTTTTCTTTTTTTTCCCCTCTCTCTCTCTCCTTCTCTCTGCCCGCTCTTTTTTTTCCTTTTTGCACCTCCGCGACCACTGCCTAATACTCCTATACCCATACAGTTTAGGTCCATCGTGCAGCTCCGGTATTTCGTCTCCGGCGTCTCTCTAAAGTTTCCACGCGCACTCGCATACCCCCCTGGTTGTTGTTGTTGTTGTTGTTGTTGTTGTTGTTGTTGTTTTTCCTTCTCCTCGAAGAGGCCCATCCTATAGGGCCCAGGTATCATGAGGACGAGGACGTCTTGAATGATAAAACCGGTCGCCCGGTAGCGGCTCTTTACGGTCGTGAACTGCGCAAAAGGAGATCATGGCGGCGGCGCCGAAGCAGCCGGTCGACGAGGAGAAGGAGTCGGTCCCGTGTCCGGGCCTCGACGCCCTCTTCTACGGTCTCACCCTCGCCGTCTTCGCGGCCAGTTCCGTCGCAGGTTAGTGCGTTTATTTTTTTAACTCTGTCTACGTTCCCGCGTCCGCGTGTCTCTTTTCGGACAATTGCTAATTTCTTTTAAAAAGTTTATTATTTGTTGAACAATTCTTTTTTGGTTTTTCTTCATCAACTATATTTTCTCTCAAATAACTTCATTTTCAAATAATGACGCTGTTTCGATCAGCATATACAATTGACACAAGACGTCGAATTTCACATAATAAATAAATGCTTCAAGCTTTACAATAACAATTTGTTTGTAGGAATAAGTACAAGTTGAATTTCTTTTTTTATTGCAGATCTGTTTGTTGTGATTGAACATTGGCTCAATACGTACAAGTCATGGGCATTATTCACAGTGGGTCTTGCTTTTGTGCCATCGTGTTTCCTACAGTTATTAAGTTTAAAGTGGTATCAGGCTAGTGGCAAACTAAAGTACAAACAATGGATCTCGCACACCTTTCACCTAGCAATTGCACACAGGTTATTTGAATTTGTTACCATTACACTCATTTTTTTTTTTTTTTTTTTTTTTATCGGCAGGTTCTGTTTTTTATTGAATCACGCCATCAAGACCATAAAGGTTCCAATAAGTTCTCAACAAAGGGACTGGTTTTTTACAATCGAAAAGGATGCATTTACGTTAAATTTATTTACCGCAATGCTCGTGTACATTCCTCAAATAATTTTTCAAGTTTATGTCATGGCTGTGCTACAACACATTTCGTTTTGGACGAGTGAGTATTGTGTGAATTTTTTTTTCCATTTCACCATGTTAATTATTAGACATAAAATAATACTTGGCAGGACTGTAAGAAAACAAGAAGAAATCGAGTTCATAAATCTTGAATATCTGCTTTAACAAAGATCTTGGTATTTCTTGAAAATACTGTTTTGCAACCAAGTCGTTTGTTATACCCTCGTGACTTGTATTTTTTCTATCGCGCATGTAGTCCACGCTAAATGTTAAATTGTTTTTATTTATAAAAAAATTGTACTCATCTCTAAGGAACTCAAATTTAAGTATATAATCGTAATCAATGGAGCATGGTTGACAAGCGTTATGGAAAGGACTCCAATGCTCATCAAATAGCTTTTCTTTAGCTAAAAATTTTAGAAATTCCTTGAATGTTGGCTCAAGACTGGTTGCATCTGAGTGTTTCTCACGATAATTATTTTTAATGTACTTGCCGTAACGTAGGTAATAAAAGCTTCTGTTTTGCTTGTTCTCCAATTTATCTCTGTAGGCTGAAAGAAGCCTTTCAAATGGGTGACGCACCACCATGAATTTTGTGGTACCATTTATTTTCTGCAAAAATTTTGTCCAAATGATTATGTTATTTTACCATTGTATACAATTTTATAACACATTTTTGCGCGTCTATTAAATTTTTTGCTTTATTCTGTATTAATCTAAGCCTATATCTTTTGTGAAAATAATGAGTTTATCTAATACTTGTTTTTAATAAGGCATGTGTGAATTTTTTTTTATCATCATAATACTTTTCTAACTATGAACAAATTAAAAAATCATACTTTTAACTTTCCATCGAAACTCTCTGGCTGTTGAAACTTTTGTTTGACAATAGAACCATATTCCACTGCGATTTGTTTCATAACATTTTTACCAATTGAAAATCCGCTAAGATAAGCAAAATTTTTCATCCACACGGTACTAGCTGCTTTATAAATTGGACACCACGTCAAATTATGCTTCCTGTTTGTATTAATTATAACGTATATTTGTACTTTAATTAAAATTTTATTTCAAATCATTAAAATACCCACGTATCGACAATCATATTTAAAATCGCTTTTTTATATACATATGTGATGTTATCCTTCATCTCCTTCACGGTGTTACACATATAATGTACTCTGTCTCTTCTTTTCTTCAAATGGTAATCAATTTCCTTGCGCGATTTTATTTTTTCTTCAGCAAATATCGGTGTTTGCTTCAATTTTGGATCACTGGACATTTTTTCACTTTTCACTTTTAAACTTCTAAACGGGTACCAAGTTACGTTTGCAATGAGAATGTAGCACACTCCAAGGAATAAAATCACAGCCAACAGTATAAAATTCACCTAAAAATAAAAAATAATTTTCAACTTAGCAGTAGACTCCTAGATTGTGTTAACTGACTAGTAATGTTTTGATGAAGCTCGCACAGGAAGTGTCAGCAGCTTTGATAAGCAGTTATCTAAGTGACATTTAAAATGTCCTTACTTTGATGTTAAAATAATATGGCACTAGTACGCACATTTTTTTTCCACAACGCGTCTACGTTCGATTAACTAAAGATTAAAAAATATGCACGTATACAAATAATTATAGTACTTACTTTCATTCTTTATTAACTAAAGCGAAAGCTTTGAAACGCCAATTATTAGGATACATTTACAAAATTTATTTTAATCCATCCTTTAAGTAGACTTTAATATTTGTTGCAACAGCAGTTCTAAAAACTCTCGTCAAACATATAGCAACTTGATTCGAACCTTTATCAATGTCACAATAGATCGTGACCAAATGAATCAAGTGTTGTCACAGCAAAAGCTAACGAAAGACTGAACTGCTGTGCAGATGTATATAGAACCATAAAAGATAACGCGGTTGACGTGACGGCAAAACAGTAGAAGGGTCCAATTTATCAGCCTTCCCTTTTAAATTATTCAATGAGTTTAAAAAAATTAATTTGGAATTTTAGATAAACTGCCTTTTTTTTATGTAATTGGTTAAGCGACATATTTTATGATACTATAGTAGTAGAGCTTTTTTATACTTGATTGTTTTTTTCGTTCATCATATTATGTATACAATTTTTTTTTTTTTTTTTTTTTTAACTTTTCCTCATCTATGCTTATGTGATTTTCGATCAAGTTTTTGTAACGAAAAAAATAATGGATGTCCTTAACATCCTGACAAAACAATGGTCAGTAATTTTACCGGTTAAAAATTGTCGGAAAAGAGAAAAATATTGGGTTTTGTAGGTACATCAGTCATCACCTCATTGTGCTCGTTAACGTGGGCTCTGACCTCGTACTCGTTGCTAACGAATCGAGCCGTACAGGACGAGGCTCAGTTCACCTGGTCATCCGTGATGATACAAGGCTTTTGGAGGGGTGGGATGCTCACTTCCAGGATTGCGGCTTTGGTCCTGGCCGCCATATATCTCAAAACTTGGATTTTCGTCATATTCGGTAAACAAAAGTTTATCATTCACCATAATGATTTACATTTCGGACAAAAAGTCAAGAAAACCAATGACAACGTGTATGGCACTTTTCGCTAGACGTGTCCCTTTTTTTTTTCACATCAAGTACAATAGAACGAAATTGCTCTGTATTCGATGAAATGGAAATTCCTCAATTTTATTTAAACTTGCGGAAAAAAAAAAAATCTTTACTTTCTGCATAAGTCAAATAAATCGTAAAAAAAAGGCGGGGCTAGCTGTCCTGTCTCCTATAATCCCAGTAGACTAAGGCGGGGTAGAGAAAACAAGGCCGAGGCTATATCTTTGCGAGCCAGAGAGCGAGTTCGAGGAATAGCTCCGGTTTCCGGGTGGAGTTTTTAATCCATAGTATTATCCTTTTCCCCGGTTTAAATCAAGCGTTGCTTTTCTGTTTTTCAATTTACCATTGCCTCGAAAAAAAAAAAAAAAAAAAAAAAAAAAAAAAAAACAAGTACGGAAGACAGTTTTTGGTTCAGGTGTACGGTATTTTACTTGACTAAGTTATTTTTAAAATATTTCATACGACCCGTTACACTTGAGTGGTAAATTTTCCACCGGAAGAAAGTTTTTTACTCACCTACCCACTTGATAAATTTCCATAAGTGTATAGACTTCAAATTCTAATGCTATCAATCATTTGCTTTTTCTCGTAAATTAAAAAAAAAAAAACGTTTAATTTAAAATAGCTGATTTTTTTAACGTGAATGGTCGTAAGTGGACACGATGAAAATGATTTAATTTAAATCGTTTTAGGGATTCATACATTGGGAACGACTTTGTCAGTGATACAACAAACAACAAAGTCGTGTTTGTCAACCGTCGACGAACTAGTCTACAAGTGCCTCATAGGGGCCGTTTACTTTTTTGATTTTCTCAAGCTGTTGGAAAACCAAGTGAAATACCATGTGTATCTTTTCTACGCGATAATGATAGCTGAAAACGCAGTGTTTTATGTACTTTATCTGGTGTACTTCAAGAATCATTACCACACGAACGTCTTCATTGTTTCAAGCGTGATGATCCTTGGCGGTAGTTTTATTGGCGCTGTCAGTATGATCATGCACTTTTGTATGTTTCCCAACATCAAAACTATAAAACTTTGTAAACGCATCCACTTCATTCCCGAGGCGATACTAAAAAAATCCTCGGCCAAGAGTATTGGGTAATTGACTTTTTTCCTAACTAGATTGAATTACGTGTTGCGAGCATCAAAACAAATTTTTTCTGAATCACTTTTACCCTTTGAGAATCGAACTTTTATTTTTCAGACATTTTGTCTGTCGTTCAAAATCGGTGTGTTAAAAATTAAAACGTTTGTCAAAAGTTTTGGTCATTGCTAAGGCTGATGGAAATATGTTACAACAGCATAATACACTCGATTGATGTTATCTTATTGTGTATTAACTTTACTTTTTAAAATAAACCAAAACATATATACTGTATGGCCAAGTAAGTACCGTTTCTCAAGGGTTCGACGAATTTTGAAAAATGTTTTGATGTCTAGAGAAATGCATGCTTTTCCGATTATATTATTCATCGTGACCAATGTCTCTTGATTAGGAAAACTTCTCCTAACAAAAAGTGGAACAATCAACCTGTAACGGATGAGCCTACGGGCAGAATAAACCCGGATAGTTCTGCCGACAAAAAATCTCTTTTGACCGACATCGCGCAAAATGCTGAATTAATGGAAAAGGGAATCGTGAATTCCAGCTTTTGTAAAAGCGATGAGGCAAATGTTACAGTCGAAGTGGTCGTGGAAGAAAGTCAGGTCACCAACGTCGAAGTTACGGTCCAACAGTTTCAAAATCAGGCTGTTTTAGAGAACGAAATAAACGATAGTATTTGCCATATAGACGTATCAGTAGAAAAAATGGATCATGTGAGTTTAAATAAAGTAAGTACATCAAATCATGTTGTGACTGGTTTTTCAGTAACCATATTATTTTTCTATGGTGTTTGAAAACACATGATGTATGAAAGTTCTCATATTTTCCATGAATTAAAAAGTTAAAATAACATTTGAAAATTCTGCGAAAATTGTCATTATACTAATACTTTTAAACAAGCCAGTCAAGGCTTTGATAGTTTTCACCATTAAAAGTTACATGCGTCAATTTACAATATCCAAACAAAATCGTAGACAACGTAACAATTGAAAACATAAAATATTTTCACTAGTGCAATATGGATGTGGATCCCCAATTATGTTCACAAAAACGTCGAGGTATCTGTTCGCTGACTCAGTTGGGGCTACAACTCATCACAGATGAGGATAATTACGTAGAAAAAAGTTTCTCTTTGGACAAACTCAAATCTAATTCCGAAGTTTCAATTAACGTTGAAGATAAAAGCATCGAAAGTATGATCATCGAATCTTTACCCATCAAAAGTTTGGCAAACGAGAATTGTGAAACAATGGCACCTGATGGTATATTAGCGCGTTGTCGGCTTCACACACCTGTGATTTCAGAAAATGGCGAAAAAAACTTAACCAACGCGGTATGTAACCATCACCCATAAACTCTTTCATAAATACTCTTGAATTAATTTATATCAATTACTCTGTACTTGTTTAACAAGTACCAAACACTAAGGTGACTGAACGGCCTATTTTTTTTTTTTTTTTTTTTTTTTTTTTTTTTTTTTTTTTTTTTTTTTTTTTTTTTTTTTTTTTTTTTTTTTTTTTTTTTTTTTT